TGCCAGGTCTCTTTTGCCTCGTCACCTTTGCACAGTCAGTTCCGCCTCATGGGAAAGGCACCACCTTTCTCCATCATGCACTACTGTATTTTTTAAAGTGCCAGTTAAGGGGAAGAATTTTAACAATAAAGGTATGGGCTGTTTCACCAACAATACAATTTTTTTCTTTTTCCTGAACCAAAATGAAGAGGGGTTTGCATTTACCCGAAGTTTCGTTTAGGGTCTTGAGCAAGAGCTTATCTGTTTTACCAGTCAGGAGACACACATTAGTAAAGAGAAAGCAAATGACATTTCCCTGAAAATATCTCAGTTTTAATTCCTTCCCACTCAAAAGCATAAGGAAAATAAATCTAATAAAGAGTATGTACAGGAATTGTCTGCTGTGGTCTTGGGAACATTTTTTAATATAATCATGTCTGCCTGGACTCAGTATACAACGATGTGGAATCCAAATCCTGTAGCTTTTAAATATTTGAAATATTTAAATTGTTTCCTTTCTGCTTGAGTTTAATTAACATAATGTTATTCGGTAAAATGATGATTCTTACACATAGAACTCCTTTAAAGCAGATGGCAGTAATTGCTGCAACAAAGAGTTTGCTGGCAAAGCAAAGGCAGAGCTGCCCCCTCAGCCAAGAGGGATCAGATATTAGTTCATGGGGCTTTCTTGCTATTTGCAATGGGAAACATACCTTGCTACAACAAGGCACGGGCTAATTTAAGAGGCTGCAATAACAGTTGCTGCACCACATCAGACAACTGAAAAGAATCCTGCTGGTGGTTCAAAAAGCCAGAAGTAGAGTAGGTTTCATGGTTATCCTGTTTCTGGCAAATCTCTACCTGTGACACAACTATAATTTTCACCACATCAGACTTCTCTGTCACAACCAAAGTATTATTCCTAATAAATGGGAATAGGAGATGGATTATAGGTTGGGGAAACTTCTGTTTACAAAACATGTTCATCCAGAGTTCTCAATATAAGGAAAAATAGCCACATCTACATGAAAAGCAAATCGACAGATTTAATCATATGTTTCCAAATCTGAACTCAGCATGACGATTTTTTAAGAAGTAATAACTTCTTATACCATAATTCTGAGTAAATAAAACAACCTCTGCATTATTGCTGGAACTGAACCTCCCACAGTGCTTAACTTTCTGTGACCTTGTCCTGTGAACATCTCTGTAATATGGGGCAGACTAAAAATAATACAATTACAGATGCAAAGACTTACCTAAAATCGGAAAGGCAGTTAGAAACATTCTTTAAGCCCACTGTTACATGAAATGAACTGCAGTGAGAGCTTGTATACCCATCTGGTCACCAAATATTAGTTAAGATGGGAAAATAACTTAAAAAAGAAACCCTTTGAATTCATAAGCCAAATAAAATTAGAGATACCAAAGAAAATTTAAAAGCATCTTATCACACAAAACCCCAATAATATAATAGGTATTGCCTCCTGCAACATAATCAAAAGTCATTAAAAGAGCTGCCACTGATACAAGGGATGAGTTAATGAAAAGAAAGTGGGATGCCATCTCAAGAAAAAAGTACCTGACCTAACTTTAATCTTTGTAAGAGTATCCATAGCTAACACGGCCACAACTTCTAAGGAAGATGCTATTTTAGAAGTGATATTTTTACATTTAATTGTATCTTCACTAAAATGATTCACAGGTATTTTTTAAGATGGGTCATAGAAATAGCAAATAAATGTATCATGCTACAAAAGTTTAAAAATATTTTTGACATTAAGCTGACATTAATCTAAAGTACAGCACAGTTGATCTCTATGCTTCTCTCCCCTTTTTTTTGTAAAGCTGGGGTTAACCATGATAACTGTGGTACCAGGTTATCTATATTTGTAGTGTTCCTCCACTCTAAATCCCAGGCTTCACCCCGTATCAGGACAATGTCATCCATCAAAAATGTCAAGGATAGTAAGGTCTGCCATTCACAGCAGTAACCCTGGGATCCTTAAGATGAACAAATGTCATGTTCACTTTACAGAATGACAATTTTCCTACGTTCTCCTTCACTGTTCCCATGTATCCACTGTTCCTTTGGGTATCTTGGCTGGTGTCAGAACCAATGGAGCAAAGCACACGATACTGACAGGCACAGCTCTGCCCTGTGAGCCAGGGGGACAGAGAGCTCGGCACAGACTTTTGGAAACCAAAAGGAACCTATGGAAAAGGTGGAGTTACTCCTCACAAGCATTCATAGGGACAGGACAAGCTGCTCCGAGGAAAACTCTAACTGGATGCAAGAAAATATTATTGATTCTGAGGACAGTAACACATTGGAGAAAGTTGCCCAGAAAAGTGATAGAATCTGTTGCTGTAAATATCAAAGTCTCAACTTGACAGGACCTTGGTAACTTCTAGCAAAGACCCTGTTTCCAACAGCAGTTTGGGCCTTACAATCTGATTTTTCCAGTACTCCTTGTAGAACATTGCCTACACCACATCAATTTTGATCTGGAAAGTGAGCTTTGTGTGATCTTTTCAAAGGACCTAAAAGTAGAATTTGTACCCAAGAAAGCTGTATTATAGGTCTGAAATGTTTTGATTGCACAGCTTCACTCTCCATAGGACAGCTCATAGATGGAGTGATCATATGGCCTGTAAAGACTCAATTATATATCAGATCTCTCATTCCTTTCAACATCTCTGAGCTCCTTCACCAGTCACAAGTCATTAATCTTTTTATTGGTGTAGATGGCACAGTATGAGGTCTACTGAAGAAATAACAAAGAAACAAGTCAAGGCCTCACACATTAAGTACAATTTTAGTATCATCTGCTACGCCTTTCCAATATCTTTGAAAATAAATTAATTTGTTCAATAATCCCGGGGACTATACCAGGATGTGTGTGTGTGCCATTTTTATGGAAGGAGCCACTGTTCCTGTATTCCCAAGCTGTAAAATCCTGTCAGCACAACTAATGGATGTCAGATGAATAAGCTTAAAAGAGCAAACAAGGGCAGTGTCAAAACCATGTCATCAACCCACAGGACTATTTGTAGTGATATTATACACTCCACTGCCTCCAGTCACAGCCCAGGATAATCAAAACCCACGTTCAGATCTTGCAAAAATTGTCACAGCCTGGCTAATAATCCACAAGAATTCAGAAAATCATACTGGATATAAAAAAGGCAGCTTTATTTTTTGTGCTTTGCTTTTGGTGGAGATTAAACAAATTGAAGAGGAGAGGTAATCAGGTCATTATTTGTACATTACATCTGTCCAGTCAGAGTTGGACAGACACTGCATGGCTTATTGTCTGATTAAGAGGCAGAATAATTCTTTGAGAGTCATAAAGGACGGAGAAGGAAGAAGATTGTGATTAAGAAAAAAACCAAAGGCTGATAGAGTAACTGAGTAGAAATCGTTGCCCTTCTACACAAGTCACAGATACCACCTAAAAAAACCCCAAGTAAGGAAACTGGATGAGCACGTTACAGACTTGAAGTGGGAATCAGAACAGTGTCTCTCACTGTTCTACATCAGAAATCTGGACTGAATCTTCCGCCAGGGGAAGAACCAGCAGAGCAGAATGAAAGGTGAGATACTGAAGCATTTAGATTAATAATGTAATTTTTCTGTTTGCAAAGCATTTCCTTGCCAAGCAAGAGTTTATTTTAGCTCTACATCGGAAGCTGTGTTTCTGAAGCCAACTGTTGCAGAACAGTGTAATGAACTGAAAGTATTGCTTACCTTGCATGCAGGAATGCTGGATTCTTTCAAGTGAATTTTATGATACAGAATTCGGTGTTGCAGAAGATTATGTATAATTTTAATATAAATATTTCATTTTGGAGTGAAAATTAATGAGTAATTTGTGCCTTAAACTGTAGTCTCAAAATACAAGTTTCATTTATATATTTATCGTATTTCTTACTATAATTATACATTATTCCATCAAACATGGTATTCCCTGTAAGTATTTCACATTTCATCTCTGTAAGTCAATAAACAGCAATTACTTTATTTTCAAAAGGTTTCAAGTAGCAACTAAATAAAATGTTTTGCATTTCGAAACAGTAAACAGTAAAAATTATTTGAAGAATCTCTAAAGCAATGTAAGAAAAGGATTCATCATTCTGGCTTCCTTTAGTCAAAGATCTAACTATTCAATACTGAGTTTTTTAATGTTTCATTCTATGCATACAAGCATAGCTTTAAGTACCTTGTTTTCAAATTTAAGATCATGAGCAAGACATAAAAGGTAAAAACTCTTTTTTTTTCAGTTAAAACTACCCGAACATCAGGGAGCAGCAGATAACTATAAATACTAAACATTCCTAAGTATTCCTGTCAACTAATTTATATTTTAGAAGCTTATTGACAAATGTCTGGTGACTGTGTAGAAACCTGTATCTATGGGAAGTATAGCTGGTATTCAGAAAAGGAAATTAAAGCAACAAGAATAAATAGATATTTTAAAGGAGAAACTTACAGAAACTGGATTGCTGAAAAAGTACTGCTAGTAGTTTTTATAGCTATGTCTTTGAAGCTTTTAATTCTTTTAATGGTACATTGACTCAATTCTTCCAGGCAGTAATATGAGTACAAAAATGAAAAATAAAATTTCTGCTTGTAATTCTCCTGACAGAAGATGTCTTAAAGTTGTTACTACCACAGAAAGAGAGACATTTCAATTTAATAATTTTAGAAAATGTCACATTCCCTTCAAACATCACTGCTCTGCTGATGGAAAATCTCCTGGAAAACTATTTGTACCTAAGAAAAAAACATAGGAAGTACTTCACTTTAAGATCATGGTAGCATTATCTTCATTCTGCCTTACAGAAGTACTTCAACATTATCTGTAATTTATTTATGTGTTATAAAAGAAATGCACTCTGTGGCATCTACATTATTATTTACTGTGGAATTGTATACTTTCTGGCTGTGTTTATGGCCTGTATTGCCCAAAGACCAACATTTTAAACTGATTTTAAATCTTCTTTCACTTGTGATACAGGTAACCGGCTTTTGGTTTGGAGTTTCATCTTGTTGGCACACCCAGTGCATGGCTGCCCTGACAAATGCCTCTGCTACACAGCCTCCAAGACTGCAGACTGCAAGAACAGAGGATTTACTGAAATTCCTGCCCGTTTACCTCCTGAAATTCAGATACTACAGTTGCAGAACAACCGTATCTGGAGAATCAACCAAAATGCATTCACTGCAACGCCGTTACTCAAAATCTTAGACTTGTCTAATAATTCCCTCTCAAGTGTGGCACCTGGTGCTTTCCAAAAACTAAGGTATCTACAAGTTTTAAACCTAACCAGAAATATGATTCATTATATAGAAAACAAGACTTTCAGTTTCCTCCCACACCTAAAAGAGCTGGACTTGTCGTCCAACAGCATTATTCGATTGCCTGAGACGTTTGGAAACAGCACAGGGAATATAACATTGCTCTCTGTGAAGCATAACAAACTTCAGAAAATGGAAAGAATTCTGCTGGAGTCACTTCCAAACCTGAAAGTGGTTCTCTTCAAAGATAATCCCTGGCAATGCAATTGTAATATCTTTGGCTTGAAACTGTGGCTGGAGAGTTTTCTATACAGAGGTAAGGAATTTTTCTCATTACATACAGTGTACATGAGAACATTTAATCAGTATCTAACTGATCTTCACTTCTGTGGCTTAAAAATTTACCCTGCACGGTAGGTCACTTCCTCAAATAAACACACTAAACTACATTCTTATGGATAGGTCAGAATGTAAGTGCTTTTATAAACACAGGTGGCAAACTAGAATCAGAGAGGGACTTTATACTAGTGCCCAGAGAAAGAGCAAGGATGCATACAGAGTGATATAGCAGGTACAGGTGTGTTCTGTAGTATGCGAATTCAGATATAGACATTTCTAAATATAAAACAAGTATACTTGTGCACATGCACTTATTTTAATTATACCAATGTATTTTTACTGGAAACCAACCTACTTGAAGATTTTCACCTGTTGCATGATGGCAAACATCAAGACAGGTATCAGTACTGAGCAAACTTTAGAGCACCCAGGATTCTAGTTTTTCTATCAATTATGACTTAGCAGTTCTTTAATATTTTACGAATACCTAGTATCACTTCCTAATTTGTTGTCAACCAGAAGAGGAACTCAATTCACTGTCATTTTCCTGACAGAAATGCGTCATGGCATCACACAGGGAAAAATTAAGTATATAAATAGTAGTGTCGGTATTTTGGTCATATCTGCTTTTAAATATATTCATGAGTTATGCTGTGAAAAAGATAACATGATTTAATTCTGAAGGAATTAAATATAAAAAGAAATCAATTAATTTCTCCCAGGAGGTATGCTCAGACTGAGAATTTGGAACAGCAGGGCAATTTTCTTTTTTCTAAATCACACTTTGAGGCTTGCATGTGACCAAACTACTGATTACCTGTCTCTGTACCAAAGTGGAGTGGAGCCTGTTGCAGCACAGGAGATGGCCCATGTGGCCTGAGACTGATGGACTGCCTTTGCAGGGATCAGAAGTCTGCAGGCCAGCTGGAAAACCACACTGGCCATGCAGGGACACAATTACTACTGGAGTGGTCTTTGGGTGAGGTAAATTCACTGCTATGAGCCACCTTTAGAAAAGACAAAAGGCTAAACTCCTTTTAGCAATAAAATATTAATACCTTGAATAGGTAAAATACTACTTTATCACAGGGCTTTAGTCTATTATGCTGGAAATTCAGCAGGTGTTGAGTTCTCTGCAGAAGAATGAAAT